AGCTTCATTTCTAATTTCAAGAAACACAGTATTTTTTAACAGTTAAACAGCATTATATTTGATTAACAAGCAAAATATATATTTTCAAAGCCTTATTAAAAGCCCCTGTATTTAACAGTGTGAATGCTGAGATTTACGAACCTCTGCGAGCCAACACTGCTCCTTCAATTCTCAAAAGTAATTATAAAACAAGCAATTTGAGCCACAAGCAGCAGAAACTGTCAAGCTCGGGGTTTTTAACCATGCTCACAACACATCACAGTCTGCAGCCTGACTCCAGCTCCCTCCCATATTCCCTGTGCCATCCCAGGCCGGGCAGGACTGGGGTGCACCCTCGAGTATGCCAGAGCCACCAACCAACCCACCCCTAGGGACTGGCAGCCCAGTGACACCAGGAAAAAGGAACATTTGAACCTCCTCAGCGTTTTTCTGCAGCAAAGCCACACCTGGCAGTGTCAGCCCAAGTTTTTCATCTGCCAGCTCTCTCCACGGAGTGCCCGGGGAGGCAAAAGCTGGAGAACAACCAGAGCCCACCTCAGAATCACTCTGCGATGGAGCCAGGAAGAAAAATGGTGGCTACACCCAGCAAACAGCCTTGGCACAATGAGAAAAAAGGTGGGGCTTTTTAAGGGCTGAGTAATTTGGTTTATGTTTTCTCTGTTCACTTTGCAAAATACATATAAAAAGCTCCTCATGCATCATGTTAAATTGACTAAAAATTTGTGACCTCATGCAGAAGTAGAGCTATTGCAGATATGTAAGCTCCCAAAAAAACAACTGGCTTCCAGTACTGGAGGTATCATCTCCAAAAACATCCCTTACAGTTAAAATGACTAAGCAGATAAAACAGCTCTTAGCCATAATACAGAACAGGCTGCTGACTTAATGGAGGCCATCAGAAATCACAAGCACTAAGGAAACACAAGACAGTAAGGGCAGCTGGCTAAACTAAACTTTGAAGTCCTTTAGATAAAATGTCTGAAATACCAACTTACCTTGAGTATGAAATACCAGATTCCCTGAGGAACATGTTCATATCAAAATCTGGGCCCTCCTCAATCAGGAAGGACTTCTTTACATAGCAGAAATTAATACATCCTTTTACCCAGAGCACTATATTGTGCAAAATTCCCATTTTGACAGAACAGTAGGTGTAATGAGAAGTAAACATTTGTACAGTTGTGCATTGCTACTGAACTGAAACTCTGTTAATAATTTAATGTGTTAATGAATATTAGGAAACAGAATTACAACTGACCATATGGATACATTTCAGATGTGGCATTCCCTTTAAATTTGTACTGCACATAGGTAGCTGTGCTTTCATTTTTCCCTGAAACTAACTCATGTTTCTTGTGAAAACTGAAATTATCCAAAAAAGTATGGTGTGGTATGCAAGAAATCTGAATTTTTATCAGTTTCTTTCATACTAATGATAAATCAATGTGAAAAGTTTCTTTTGGCTGTATATATTCTTAAATATTAATAAAGATAAGGAAGATTCCAGGCAGAATACTAGCTTGAACTATGGGAAACACAAATTCCTCACACACTTGTAAACTGATAATTCTCCATCTTCTTTACTCCTCTGTCAGTTATTAATATGATAAAGGGCTGAGGCACCTTTCTTCATTTTCAGTAATTGCATTTATTTTACAGCAATGATTTTTTCCCCTAGTAATAGATTCATTAAGGGTAAGTAAAGTGCAAGGCACCGGCTGGTTTAGCTCCTTCAGAAAAGGACCTGGGCAGTATTAGGGTTCACAAGCTTTATAGAAGTCAACAGTACCATGCTATTGTGAAAAAGATTGGACTGTCACATTGCAGAAGTAAATAGATTGCAAGGCATGTCATGTAATAAACTCTACATAGGATTGGCACCAGCTTATCTGAGTATCATGCTCACCTTGGACCACTGCCAATCAAGAAAGGCAGAAAACAGCTGGAGATAGGCCAGAGGAAATAAAGAATGAGAGAAAATTTGGAAAATGTGAGCACTAAGGAACCATTGAAAAAAATAGCAGTTATTTAACCTGAGGAGGGAAAGGCCAAGGAAAGATATGATAGCAGCTTTCCATTAAGTCAAAGAAAAAAGGAATAATCTGCTTTCTGTGCCTATAGGACTGGACAAGAATTAATGCCTTTTTGGTAAGAACATTTCTACATAGAAAGAAAATGTTTCTTATATTGAGCAAATTGCAGTGTTAGAATGGATTGCTGCTTTCTCATTGAAACTCACTGAAAGTCTCTGAAAAAGATAAACATCTGTCAGGAATGGCAAAAATAGTTTATTTTGCCTCTCAACAACAGAATGGACTAAAAAGAAATCCCAGTGCCCAATTCTATTTTTTATGTTTTTTTGAAAGCATGGCACTTCAAAACAGCAAGCTGGATGTTGATTTCCAGAGTACATAAAAACATACCTCTGTCTCAAACAAATTCATACTTTTCAATGTTATTTAATACAATTATGATAGCAATAACAAAAATGAAAGTGCATTAAATAGCATTTCTTCTGCATGTATTAATATTTTTTCCTGATTTCTACAAGTTTAATACCCCTTCTCTATTCTGAAATGTTTACTTCCACTTCTTCAATATAAAACAGTCATTGAAAAATAGGTATTTTCTTCCTATCAACCAGACCTTTCAAGAAAACAGAGAATGCAGCCAAAAAAAGAAGAGCCACTTATGGAATTACATTTAACACAACTTCTATTTTAGAATCATAGAATGGCTTGGGTTGGAAGGGATCATGAATATAATTTTGTTCCAACCCCCCTGCTGTGGGCAGAGCCACCTTCCACTGGACCAGGGTGCTCAGAGCCCCATCCATCCTGGCCTTGAACACTTCCAGGGATGAGGCAGCCACAGCTTCTCTGGGCAACCTGTGCCTCTCCAGCCTCATTGTAAACAATTTCTTCCTCATAGCCAACTTAAATCTACCCTCTCTCAGTTTAAACCCCTTTCTCCCTGCCCTGTCCCCACAGGCCTTGGGAAAAAGTCTTTCTCCACCTTTTTTATAGACCCCTTTTACATACTGAGAGGCCACAGAAGTCTCCTCAGAGCCTTCTCTTCTCCAGGCCAGCCAAGCCCAGTATTCCCACCCTATCTCCATAGGAAAGTGCCCCAGTCCTTGGAGCATCTTCGTGGTCTCCTCTGGGCCCCTCCAGCAGGTTCCTGCATTTCTTGTTGTGGGGACCCCAAAGCTGGGGGCAGTACTGCAGTTGGGGTAAGTTTTACCATCTGTTGTTTGAAAAAGGTAATTTAAATAGAATATTATATCTAAGGTAGTACTCAAAGATCATCTAAACAATCTTATAAATGTTGTATCCTACTGTTTGGACAATAGAGTGGGATAGATTTTATTATTAACAACAATTTCAGAAGTTATCCAATATCAGTTAATTTGCTTTGAGCAGTAAAGGTACTCTAAGCAATTACTTGGCTGACATAGAACAAAAGATGAAGTGAATTTACATATGAAGTGTACACAATATTACTGTCACTCTTGCTAATACATTGTCATCATGAGAAAGTAAATGAAGGTATTAATTTCATTCACATTTGTGTTTTGGAAATGTCTGAATATGCAAAGCAACATCACAGCCTCATCATGCCACAATGTAAATAAATACAGTATTTCAAATAGCACCTGCTTCTATCATATTCTATTATTACCAAAGTATGTAAAGCATGAACATTACCTTTGAACAGAATAAACATTTTAATTTAAAAATATAATTAATTCCATTGTTCAAAAACCGGAATTAAACCATCACGCAATGACTCACAATACTTCACAAATAATTTGATGACTGCTACTGATCTTTTTCATTGCAGAGAAGTTTAGCACAATAAAGCAAATTTCCCAGCTTGGCCATGATTCATTTCTTAAGCTGTTTTCTGATACACAAATGCAAAACCCCCACATAACTATTATGAAATAGCACCCAAAGTATGTTTAAAAATACAGAACTATTGCCTGAACCTTCAGAGACACACCTTAAAAAAAATACTCTTTATTGTTCACTGCATCATTTGCACTTTTTACATAATGTAATCACGGGATTTAAATAACTCAATTTAATATTTATCCAGGAACTGGCAGCCAGTATTCTACCCTAAGGGATGTAACTCTTTATAAAAAGCTCATTTTACAAGACACTGGAGTAGTTTTGGCATTACCATCACCTCTCACATAAACCATGCTGAAAACTATAGTTTATCCTGCCAAATGACTTTTCTACATATGGTGTTTAACAGTGCTCTGTAGGTCTGAAAGCCAGTAATAATCGATTTAAGCTAAAAATCTGGTAGCATACATGTATGTAGCACAAAAATTTAAACAATGCTACATTTTCATGGATATATTTACCTACATAGCCCACATGCATATAAGCAATTAAAATTACTCTTTAAATTAATGTGCTAACTATAACTCCTGTAAAATTACTTTCAGTTTCCAGTAGCTTCCTAAAGTTTAATTCTCCTACTGACATCAGAGGCAGAACTTCCATTAACCTCAGCAATATAGGATCAGGCCACAGGAAATCCAAAGTAATATATTTAAAGGCAGCACATACACATTTTTAAAACTCTCTAATTATGCAAGGATGGGCTTGGCACTTTACTGGGTTAACTGCCCCAGTAAACTTCTAAATTAAAATTTTAAATAGCACATTTTAAATACTACATCATAAATGCATAAATACTACCATATAAATAATGACACAATAAAATTCAGTTATGTGTCCACATGTGGTTAAAGATGGACCTGATGAAATTTTCATTGTAGGCAACAGCAAATTTCACAACCTTTTTGACATTTGAAGTCTGATTTGAAGTCATACTGTGACTGAAGGGAATCAGCTAAATTTGTCGAGTAGTATTTAATGTAAGTCTTCTTTATAATTAAGACACTTCATAAATATATGAGTGATGGAGTTTAAAGTGTTAATATACTGACAACTGGGTACCATAATGCTGAAAATACTCACCACTTTCAAAACAGGCATCAAATATAAGATGTCCTTTTTTGGGCTGTCCACAGTAACCAGCTGGGAGAACAATGTACTTGCTCACGTTCCCTGCTATGATATCATCACTTCCAATGGCACTGCCTGTTGCAGTAAAAGGAAAAAAAAAAAAAAAATAGCATAAACCAAAATATATTTAATATATAAAAACCAATAGAAGGCTACTTGCCCACACATTTCTACATAAAATAAAATTTGCACCATTTAACATCTGCACCAGTAAATTAATTCTTTCTTTTCAAAGTGTATATAAGAATTTTGATATAATAATGACACAATCTGTTAAAGCCTCTCTAAGGGACAAACTACCCAGCCTGGTTTCTTGCACGTTTATGACCTGTGGCTGAGCCCTCTCAGATGCATTAGTCTGATATTCAGCTGGATCTACTTTCAACAGGAACTCTCTAGATCCTGCTGGATTCCTGGAATTGAACTCCTCATCAGGTTCTTTATCACAACCCTCAGAAGCGTCTTCCTCTCTACCAGCATTAATGGGATCTTCTTCCTCTATCCTGCTGCCTATTTTCATGCATCTTAAATGAACTTAGAACCTTTGAGACTGTTCAGAACCACTCATACTGGAAATTTTAGAATTATTAGAAGGAAGAGATATGCACCAATAGAGCTATGTGACTATCTGAGCCCTCGTTGTTAGGAAACAAAACTCAGAAAAAGAACTTGAATAATTATATTTTTTAATGGGGCATTATTTCACAGTAAAATATAGAAGGACATAAGGTTTCCACACAATGGCATGATTTTTGTCAAAATACATGAGTTTAAAGCTTTATCCTTACGGTAAAATTACAATAACAAATTGCAGTCTGCAAAATATTTGTTTCCAAATAGGGATAGAAGACCACTAATTTTGGGTTTTTTTCCATTTGAGATATGCACAAGAAAGCAATCAAATAATTGTATATTATATCATACATTTATATTATAGTGTAAGAAACACTCAGCACTTTCTTCAGCTTGGACAAGAAATATTTAACAATAGAAAAACTATCTTCTGTATTATAGAAAATGAAGAAATGGTATGGCTTCAAGTGCAGAAGGCATGTGATGGGATAATGGGATGATAATATCTTATTTCACTCTGATAAATAGGGCTACTAAGGCTTCTAGAAATAGACTTTTGGTCTGTACTGATTTTTTTGACATTTAAATGGGTTATGGGGGATGATAAATGTGACATAAAGCTCAATTTGTTTTATTTTTATATTGAAAACTATTTCACACAAATGTTACAAGCAATTCATATTGTCCCTGAATGGGGAAAACAGCTTATTAATTAAAAGTGACCTTTCCATACATAAAAGTATTCCACCTCTTGAGGCAAAACACCTTAGCTGAGGTAACAAATTATATCAATGTATTAGTGACACCATAGTTAAAGGGTCTGTCAGGCTTTCTATCATATACCCATATTTTCACAGGTACATAAATCCCACATTAAAAAAAATGCAAATCCAGGTCATTATTTGGCATATGAATCCCCAGTCTTCTCTAGGAAGAAATTTGGAACTTACTTTAGGAAGTACTACAACAGAACAAACAGAATTTAGACATTTTCTTACTTTATAATAATCTAAAAATGTAGATATTTAATAATGCATGATAGTATTTTTTAACAAAATTATTATTTGTAACCTCTGGGCTATTTGTTTTAGACTGAATAATTACCCACAGACAGCAATCTGTGGCATTTAAATTGTTTTCTTTAAGTGTATAATTGATATTTAGGATATTTCAGCTGGATGTTTTTTATCAGCGTGCTGATACAATTTGCTTAAAGCCTGGGAACACCAGAGGCAAACTGAGGCCTGGATGGGGCATCTGTGCATCAGCATGGCTGTGATCCTGTCCCTAAAAATTCACCCCTCTGCACTGCAGTGCAGAGCAGCAGCCAGAGGAAAACCACACCCTCAGTTTCACCTGAGCTGGATTAATACACACTTCTTGCAGTTAAGATTAGTCAAGTCGGTCATTTGCAATCAAACATTGTGGAATTGAGGAAACAAAGAAAATTTAATGGAAAACCTGCAAATCACCATGAGTGCCTGAACTGCCAGGGACCAAAGTGAAGGAATGGGAGGCAGGGAGTCACCTGAGTAGAGCTGTTTGAAGACTGGACTCCTCTTGGTAAATGTTCCTTTTGAGCCTCAGCTAAAAGTAACAGACCTCTTAGAAATTGTAGAAGATAACTGGGAAACACCACTTAAAGATGAAGAAACTAGACAAGATTACATTCATAGCACTGGCACCGTAAAACAGTGGAGGAAAAGCAGGCAGAAGAGAGATTTACATCTCCCTGGCAATTTAGAAAATCTGCCAATGGAGACTTTACACAATGCAGAAGGAAGCTGTCAAGTAACTGTGTCCCAGCAAAAAGTTTCCATCTGCTCCTCCTGACCTAATGTAGCCCTCCAGGAATGAGAATAAAATCATCAAATAGCCTGCAAATCGTAGTCATTTAACAATATTACTTGCCTAGCATGTTCTTTATTCAGTAATTAGAATATTCAGAATGCAGTGTTGCTATATTTTGAGTTATATTATCTTTAATCTCTAAACATGCAAAACTGCTTTCTTTGAACTTCACATTATTGAACAGCACAACAGCACCACGTCCCTTCTGGCATGTTCTCCTTGGGTGATAAAGACAAGGGCAGAGCACTGCCCGAACAGGAGCCTGTATGAGTCCATTATAAACCATGGCTTCACGCCTGTGTGCTCAGCAGAAGCAGAGAGCAGTGCTGGGAACACATCCCCACCTCAGATGGAGAGAACAGCTACCCTGGGCTCCAGTCCTCTGCCCAATACAGAGATCCTTCTCACAACTGGGGAGCCCTAAGCAGATTTTCCTGGCTGGAGGCAAAGATGTATGACAGAACCTTGTGGGGAAGGGAAATAGCTCTTCAATCTGAAACAAAGTGAAAGGGAAATAAGAGAATTAACTGAAGTACATCCTGCACATTCCACTTAAGGAGACCAGATTCTCCTTTGAAAAAAAGGTTAGATAAGACAAGCAAAGGCAAAACCTAGCAAAGAAATTGTCTCAGAATGTAGTTCTTATTTTGTCAATTATTTTTCTTATGGGTTGTAAGACACATAGCTATTTTATTCTAATTCTTCATAGCTTAAACTCCAGGAGGCTCCAGCAAATCCCTAGGATTTACTTTTACTGCAGTATTAAACTTTAATGGTAATTTTCTATCAGGTATAAAATCTGTGGGTGCCTGAAATCTCTATAAGTATATAAGGCTTTAAAATAAAACCTGGGCAGAGTCTTCTGGTATCTGCATTCATCACTATTGTCATTGTGGATATATTTCACATCAAACTAGTGAAAATGAATAGAATCAGTTCCAGGAGACTAGGATTCGTGGAGGGAGAGTTTGGAAATTTCCAGAGTTTCTTTGCCCTTCTTAAATTCAAAGGGTAAAGTCAACTTTTTTTTTTTTAATTTAGGAAAAGATTAAATCAGTATTTGCTACAATAAACATCATGCAAATTTAAGCACATTTTCTTTAAACACTATAGTTTATAGAGGAAGGTACCTCTTTAGAAAGTAACAGGGACCCTGGATTGGGTAAACAACAAGCCCAGCTTTCAGAAGTGCCAAACACGAAAACTCACGGAGTAAGCAGCCAGCAGCTCCCCTCATGCTACATTAGGCAGGAGAGCACAACCACATTAAAATAGACATGGAAAAATATAGCAGGAATTTGCCTGGAAAACCTGCATCTTTCTTCTAATCACACTGCCTAACAATGACAGCCAATTAGAAAGGTGGGGTAACACAAAACCTATAACTGCAAGGAAACTGTAGAAGTCTTTCTGTAATTACAAATGTTATCAAGATACTCTGCATTCTCCTATGAGATCCTTATTTTGGAATAAAATTAGAATACATTTTGCTGCTGGAAACATTTATGGTATAAAGATCAAATAGCCAGATCCCTGTCATCCACTTAAAGTTTCCAGGCATCCCAGAAATGCTCCACCAGCCTTGAGCCACACTGTTAATAGAAGCCCACACAAAGAAGGGAATCTGAACTCTCAGTACAGTTTGCAACAAAAAAAAAAATTAATTCAGATGACCAACAGCAATTCCTATTAGCTCCAAAACATTCCAAGTCTCCAGATGAACACTGTTCAACTCATGCTTTGGCTAAGCAGCACTTCTGGATGTTATGCCAATAACAGTCTGCTCCACAAACCTGAAAACAATGTAATTTTAGCAAAATTCTTTTAAATTATAGCATTAGTACAGGTCTATAGTCTAATAGCTGATTCTGTTCTCTTGTTCTTTGACTTTTTTAAATAAAAGTTTTTATATCATTGTCCCTAGGCTTCAGAAATGGAAGACAAGCTATTTCTGCTATGACTTCTGAATGCTCTGTAGCCATTCTAAAAATCCTACAGGCAGTAGCAGTCAGGAACTTGAATTCCAGCTCTGTTGACTTAAAAATGCTAGAAAAAGAAGAAAACACAACTGTCATTTTGATCTTCACAGCCAGGTATCCCAAAACAAGGCTTGGGCATGACCTGGAGAATCTAAACATACATCAGAGTGATGTCAATCTGAAATGCACTAAATCACAGGCACTGTGATCTGAAAAGAAAGGGAAAAAATGTATTTAGACTACAAATCCCAGGGTTTGAGACAATACCCACATGGTAGCAGCCACACCTGCTGCTGCACATTGGGGTACTCTGCCCATTCTGTCACCATCACCTATTTCAAAAGTCCAGCAAGGAAAACGCTGGTTACCACAAGAAGGCATTGTCATATAGCTTGGACTAGTTCTAAAAAATAGTAACATTGTGTTGTCATTTAAAAACCAAATTTGAGATAAAGCAGCTTTGCAGCAATTGTCTCTTCAATTACTTTCCTCCTACGGTTTGACCAACAGACTGCTTGTCAAGTCTGTCTCCAAACTGAGATTATATTCATATTCAAGAAAACAAGCAAAGTAAAGATGAACTGTAGTTTAACAGAGATTATCAGGCAAATTCTGATTTGCACAGATTCACAAGTTCTGAAAGTAGAGAGTAGAAATAAACTGCCATCTTAC